TGCCTTATCCACACCGTTTTCCGACCTCATTCCTGCACAAATGGTATCAGAGGGGGCGTCGAATTCAAACCATGTGCAGAACTCCGAAACCATTTTTTCGTGAACATAGCCTTTAACCAAAATACATAGAAATGGGAAGTAGTCAAGCTTGGCTCAGCCTCCCTCAGAGCTGCCTACATACAATTCAGTGGATTAATAATGACAATCTTTTTAAAGTAAAGGATAGTCTTCTGGTGTGAATCAAGCCCTCCTAAGGGATGCTTCATGCATCCGAATTCCATTCAGAATCGAAGTGACGTGATGGATGCGTATGTGGTCGATACAATGGCTTGCGGTGGTCAGCCAATGTGTAAGTAAGTGCTTTCATCCATTCAGGCGAGTCTGATACCAATCAACCGACCCCTGAGGTGTGGAAAGCTTAGTTGGCCTAGGCGAATATCGATCCGGGATTTGAACCAGTGGCATGTATGAAGTGCGCCACTTGCCACCACACCACCTCTGCCCTTGACCAGTTCTACAACATTTTTTTTGTGTTTCAAGGCAGGTTTATTACCTTTCAGATCCACTCGTTCCTCGATTTTTTTTGCACAAATATCCTTAACATTCAGCAGTATTGTGACTATAGAAAATAGCAAAATAGCCTCTCGTAAAATGCTTAAAATCTGGCGACAGGTAAACACCGTACAAAACACTAATTGAAAAGATACCAACCCTTTTGAACCACTCTGGGTCCATACCAGTACCCATATGCTTAACAATTGCACAGGATGACTATCGAATTGGATCTAAATATTTGTAAGCCTCTACGAATTCATGGTGCGAACATCCATATGCTTGAATTTCTATTTTCCCTTTTAAGATCTCTTTCTGACAACCGAGAGAATGATCAAATTTAAATTTATTGTCTTCAAAGCAAATATGATCACAGAACATGAAAGTACGGTACGAAAGTGAAATCCTCAGAAAATGTATTTCTATGGAATATCACTGGGAATGGGAGAGAGATGTTCATCTGACGCCAATAACAAAGTAAATATAATGCCCTTCGGCCACGGAAATGATTTCATCCGGTTGCTCTAGCAGTCTTCGGAAACTTTTTCGGAGACTGTGGGTATGGAGACAGAAACAGTGCCCATATATTTCTAATACATGAGAACCCGACTACCGGGTGATCCGGACCATCAGCCATTTGGTGCCACCGGACCCATTCAGATCAGGGTGATTCCAGTCCCAAGAAAAATACAAAATAAAAATCTTGACTAATACTTGATGGCAGTGCTCGCGTTCAGCAAGAGGGTGAGACTTCAATGGTGAAGTTCTGCCTACGTGCAAAATGTGATCACTGCGAGAACGAGAATGAGAACGTTAGATCAAGAACATCATCAAATCAGAATTATATCAATATCATCATTCAATTCCAGAGGTAACCGCTGGGTGCACGATCCGTGAAGAAATAAAAATTGAAAAAAAAAACAAAATAACAACTGAGAACTACAAACAATGCACATGTAATAATATATCAATGGAATGCCTTATGGAACGAAGAGACAGAAAGGGAAAAGTGATGTAGGGAACGATGGGTTTCTGAACCGAATTTTACCTGCCGAATAACATGTATGAAGGAACTTTGCACAGTGAAAGGGACAAGGATCTACGGCGAACCAAACAGCTTAGAAACATTTCTGAACGCTCGTGAGTCTCTGATGACTTTCCATAATACCGACACCTTCCTGGATTCAAATAGCGACTTCTATAACGAAAAGTATAAAACAGAGAAAAGAAAAATTAAAAAGAATGGAAGGTGAAAAACCAACTTTTAGCTTGCCGCGCTGCCCAATTCTTCTGGACCTCTTGGAGCAGGCGGCTCGTGAGGAAAATCTGTAAAAATAGCAAATTTTCAAAATAAAAACCTTTCAATCTGGATAATTAGAACAAACCCGGCACTGAATTCCCCGATTCCGATTCATCATCACTGTCATCAATCTGTATTAGCTGGTCGCCATTTGTTTGCAAAGGTCTGTTGAATGTAGGGGCCATTGGTGACGGAGCAGAAAACGAGTCGTCCTTGAACGATTAAACCTCATTCAGCATATTCAATACAACTCAGAGAATAAAAAGGAATGAATTACTCCAACATTTAGGTGAAACTGTGGAAAAAAGGTAGTGTGATCAGCGATGCTCAAGACAGATGAATTCCCAGGAAAACATTCACTCTCATTTAATTACTATAAATCACTCGTTAAGTGAACTAGTCAAAGGTTTGGAGGGTCTGAAGAGCGAAACACCACTGAAGGCTTTGGATAAAACAAATACCCTCAAAATACCAATTTCTACTGAAATTCTATTTATCATAGAGGCATTTTCGAAATATAGCATATTAGATGCGCAGGGCCGACGACTCCGAGCTCACCTTTTCGACAGTGTGGTCTTTCCTGCTACGACGTACGCTTTTGAAACCTACACTCTACGAAAGCAGGATGAACTTGGAGCCAACATCATTAAATGTGGTAAGGAAAGGACAATGCTCAGAAACTCCCGATACATGCAAATGCAGACGGATTTCGAAATTCAGACTCCGTCGGCGACCAGTGACGCCCCTGCTTACGCCAGCAGCCCAAGACCAGGTGTGCCGGAGATGTCATGCCATTTTGTGATTACCGCTGAACCAGGGAGGTTACTGACTGGATAACTCGAGACGTCATACGAGCACCAGGATGCCACCAATGCGATCCTGAGAGTTTTTCACGAAAGCTCTGAACGGAGTAATAATGTATCTAATTTTCTTTGAGCGAAGCATCCACAGCAATCCAGACCACTTCGGCACTATGGACGATTAGAGACATTACTTGCGCCCGCTCACGGAAATCGATGATCAACGGAACGGCAGGTGATACAGGTGCACAATAGATCCGCATAAGGACACGCGAGGCTCAGCATACGCTCAAATCATTGGCTTCAGTCTTGTAAAAAATTTCGGAAGATTTCAAGCGAGTTCACTACATGGGTCGTGAAAGTGACAGCAGTTTTGGGCACTTTACGATTTTCATTATATCAAGTAGGAAAAGTAGCAAATCCAACAATATCCACCTTAAAAAAGGATGCAATTGAATTCGTATATAAATATTCTTACTTGAAGCTCTCATAACTATCACACTGCCCACCAAGCTACCTTTTAAGCAGTTCGAAAATTTGTTTACAGGATTCAGATTTCACTAACGCAACTTGTACAGGTAAATTAGAGACGTAAAGTCAAAAACACATGAACACAATTGGCTTAAACATAAACACAACACATAGTAATCAAGAGCGAAAAACTCACAAAATCATCCTGTGGAGGCTCTGGTTGTGGGAGACCAAGATGTCTTCTACAGTAATATGCAACACATTTGTGAACAAATTGGTACTGATCCTGAAGCAATACAAAGACCCTTTCAAGTGTTCTCCAAAACATTCATTACTAGCTCAGATTTATAGAGTACTGCCTCATGTTCCCCACTCAGATGCAGGTGTTGCTAGTTACCGTACGTATCCGTCTTTGACCACAACAGCCCGCCCAAACATTCCCACAAAACCAAATACGGCTCACTGAAAGTGAGGAGGGGGGAATGTGACTACGAGGTGCGTAATGAGCACACAAGGAACACCCTATATGAGATAGTCCGCTGTTCTTAGCAAAAATTCACAGCCCAATAGCATGTACTTTTGACAAGATTCATGCTAATATAATTTAAAAACTAAAAAAAAAGCACCTGAGTTTGAACCATACTAGCTCTCTGTTTCCTCAAACTCATAACAAGATCGAAGAGATCAAGCGATTCCAATTCTGCAGATTTGATTAACTCCCGTATGTAATTCACAGAAATGATGGTTCCAGTGCGACCAACACCAGCACTAAAATAGTTTTCTCTCATTTTTCTCAGCTACAGCACATTAGCTGAGTCAATTGTTTTTTGGATCACGTACCTACAATGGACCAATACTGGCGCATCAGTTTTCTCATGAAGTTCCGCCATTTTCTCAATCATGTTGATCAACTGACTTTCACCTGAGGGACAACCATGATCTGGCCACTCTCTAAAAAAAAAAGGAGATGAGACAAACTCGACGGTATAAACAAAACCTATCTCTACTTTTGGTCCCAACAACC